TACAATTTTAACAATATATGGCTTTTTGTCTTAAAACAGTAAATTAATATTGTAAGCTTGAAAATTATAGTTTTTTGTTCCATTATCTTTGGTAAATTGTAACAAAAATTATTGATACTTTTTTTAAAATACTGATTTATTAAATTTATTGATGCCGTATAAAAAATACCAATAAAAAGTGTTTATAATTGCAAGATTTAATTTTTGTAACAATTTTATACTTCCTTTTAGAAAGTTCACAAACACAAGCGTGACGAATATGAAGAATATGCTCAACAAAAAAAGATAAAAGTTATTCATGAAGCCGAGTAGTATAAGACGTACTGCCATTTTTCTCAGGCACAGTTTGAGGAAAACGTGATAAATTACATCCTAGAAAACATCGTTCCTTTCAGCACTGTGGACTCGAAATCATTTAGAAAAATATTTGATGGTAATTGATTCTTACAAATTATTATTTCGAGAATTAACTAATAAATAGAATTTATAGTTATAATTTTTTATAGATATGGAAATTAAAAAAGGTGGCAAACGTCTTACTCATCTATCTGCTCGAACTGTCGAACGTAGGATACACGAAACATTTAAAGAGAACATTTCTTCTATCAAAAAAATGATTAGTGAAGCTGAACACGTTTGTACGACAGCAGATGTGTGGTCTTGTCAAAGTCGACGATTTTTAGGAATGACTGTTCATTGGGTAAGATAAATAACTTTAGTTCTTTATTACTTTTGCTGTTTTAAAAAAAATTTTTAAATTTATATATTATGTCATTTTATAATTTTTATTATGAGATTTTATAAATTTTTATTAATTGGTTTAAAGATTGGCAAGCAAACGATGGAACGTAAATCATATGCAATAGCATGTTGAAGATTCAGTGGCACACATTCATACGATAGAGTCGCTCGTTTGATTGAAGATATCCATACTTCATTTGGAATTAATAAGAATAAAATAATTGCCACAGTAACAGACAACGGATCGAATTTCGTGAAAGCGTTTCGCGAATTTGGAGTCAATTTAAGTGACTCATTTTTTTCCGGTAAATATCAAAATGTCTACATTTATAATTGATTATAGTCTTTATAGATAAATGTATCCCTCCTCCCTCTAAAATTAGATCTCAATACTTAATTTTGCTTGCTGTACCTTTACATTGGAAAATTTCGACAAACTTATGTAAGCTTACACTTGACTTTTTACAATTTAAAAAATTTTATTTAAAATTTTTTTATAATTTACTCATTATTTGGTTATAATTTGACCATTAATAATGTGTATTTTTTATTTTAATTAAAAGAAATGACAATGACTGATTTATTGATTACAAAATATTTTCCATGCATTTTATAAAAATATATCTATTCTCTTTTTTATACACTAGTAGAATTATAATTTTCTTCTCTATTTCATTTAGTTGAATATTTGATGTTTTGACATTTACAGAAGAAATTTTTGATGACGAAGAGGTCGGTACTAACTTTGAGACAAAATTAGAAAACGAAGAGCATGCTGAACTCGAATTATTTGAAGAGAAACCTAATAATTATTCAGAAGAAATATTACCACAGCATTTTCGTTGTGCTAGCCATACTTTGAATCTTCTGGCTACAAGTGACGTAATTTCGCTCATAAAATCATCAAAAGAATTGAATTCAGCTTACACTCAGATGATGTTTGAACGTTGTAATGAGCTATGGAATTTGCAACTTTCTCCAAAAAAATATGAAAAACTAAAAGAAGTTCTTGGTCAGAGTTTGAAAAGGCCAGTGATAACCCGTTGGAATTCGCTATATCGTGCATTATTGCAGTTTTGGCTTAAAAGAGAAAATATTGACTAATATTGACGAGTTGGGTATAAATAAGCCATTTGATGAAATCGATTTTAGGTAAGAAAAATATTTATTTTTACTCTTGTCACTTACTTTTGTGAAGTTTTTTCTAAAGATAAAGATATCTAGGTTCATGTCCATTAATTTTTTTTTATTTGATTGGAGGTTAAGATATTTAGTTTTAAAAAATTTTTACAATTTGAGTTAAAAAATTGAATTTTACTTGAGAAACTGAGGCATTGTTAAATTATTATTTTACAGATTTATGGAAGAATATCTTCATTGTAATAGACCTCTCGCTGAGGCTATTGATATTTTACAAGGTGAAAAAGTCGCTAGCTACGGATACCTGCTTCCTACACTCATATCCGTCAAGAATAAATTACTGGCTTGTCAAAAAATAAAGTTACAATTTTGTAAAAAGTTAGTGTTTGGATTATTGAAAAGTTTGCAGTTGCGCTTTAAGCCAATTTTTGATGTTGAAAATGAAGGACGGATTAGCGCTGTAGCAGCAGCTTCACATCCTAAATTTAAATTGAACTGGCTCAATTGTTTAAGTCGCTCAGTGCAAGCAAATGTTATAGTAGCAATAAAAGAAGCACTTGCTTCTGTGTCGAGTAGAGTTGAAGATAAGAAAAAAGATGATAGTGTAGCTGAGGATGATTTTTTGGACTGTGATCATGATACACCTGATGTAGTCGAAACTTTTGGGGCTTCTAATGTAGAAGCAATATTTCAGAAATTTAGTACTGAAAGTAGGAATGATCTCGAATTACTTAATTTATATCCTATTGTTAAGAAAGTTTTTCTCAAATTTAATACACCTTTACCATCTTCTGCACCAGTAGAAAGACTTTTTAGTTACGCTACAATGTTTAATTTACCTAAATTTAATAAATTAACTGATGAGAATTTTGAATTAAGAGTAATTATGAAGTGTAATTCGAATGTCGCTAAAAAAAAATAGTATTATTTACTTAGAAAACACGTGATTCTCTTAAATAATTTGGGCATATTTAAGGCTCCTGGGTACTCGTCGCGGCCATGTTGGAATGTGAGAAAAAGTAAGAAATGACACGTTGAAAATTCTTGCGTAGTATTTCCAAATAAAAAGATATTTGCTTAAAATAACACTACAGATCACTTCAGCACACTTTAAAAATACGCCGAGTTGAGGTTAAGTCTACCCCTTTTCCTTGATAGTAATAAACAGCCGTAAAACAAATGTGATACGATGCAGGCTTGTGCGCAGGCGCATGACTAGATTTCGTATTATATTCATTTTACGGCTGTTTATTAATTGTCAAGGGAAAGGGGTAGACTTAACTTCAACTCGGCGTATTTTTAAAGTGTGCTGAAGTGATCTGTAGTGTTATTTTAAGCAAATATCTTTTTATTTGGAAATACTACGTAAGAATTCTCAACGTGTCAATTCTCAACATTTCTCGCTTATTCTCCATTGGAGAGAGTTCTTATTTCTACCGCGACGGTACGTCGTCACCGTCAACGCTGAGTTCTCGGCTCAGGACCAGGAGCCTTAAAGAACATTACATCAATGAGAGATGATAAATAATCTTGATTGAAAACTTGAAGAATAAATACGCTGTATTTGCTGATACGTTTATACAATATTAATATGTAAGTAATAATTAATAAATTATTCTTGTAAGTCAAATATGTACACATTTATTACCGTGTTGACTGATTTAATAATAACTGTGTGATAACAAATATAATTTTTTAATCATTGACTTCGCTTTATTTAGTCTGAATATAAAATTGAAACTTCGAATACATTCATATATTTACAAAAATTATATGTTATATGCACACTCAAAGGGAAGGAAAATTTAAGAACAACAGTTTATA